TAAGAATAAATTCACACTAAATCGAGTTTGAAGTATTCCAAACTGATCCATATCTTAATATATATATATATATATATATATATATATCTTAATATATATATACTAGATTTACCTTTTAGGTTGGTTGCTTTAAAAAAAAACGAAAATGGAACCAAAACAGTAAAACTGAATACGAAACCGGATTGATGAAAGACCAAGTTCATATATACATGTTGTATATGTATGTACCTGTTGCTTAAAAATATCTTCTTGGGCTTGCATTGTTTGTCTGATTGATTCAGCAGTTTGCTTTTCAAGAAACCTATCCATCGACCTTGTAACAAAAGACGCTTCTTGTTCCTTCTTCTCTTTGTCGTCGGTCATCGTCTCCTTTGACGATTTTCGTCGACCATTAACACCAAATCTGATTAATCCACTACGATCAACACTCTTTAAGCCAAGTGAGGTTGTCGGAATTCGCTCAACGGTTTTTGTTCCCATGCCTGAAACGTAGAGTCACACACTTCATACCCATTTGATGATTTGATAGAACACACGAGAAACAGAACCCTAATTCCACTTAAGTTGTATATGCGAGTGAGTGTGTGTGTGTGTGTGTGTGTGTGTGTGTGTGTTTGTGTGTGTGTGTGTATATACATGTGATTATGATGTTGATGGAGAAATCGTCAGAAGCCACTAGTTCTTGAAGTGAAGGGTTTATAGACAAAAGAAGGTTGACTGGTGGGACACACTTTTGAATTTGATTAGATTCTTTCTCATGGTGTTTTGTCTCAAAACCAAGTATTTTTAGAAAGCGAATCAAAATGTCTTTCTAACCAAATGGATAGAACATGTCAGACCACCGATTGTAAATGACCAAGCTAATTATTTTAACTGATTTCAACTCAATTTTGTTTGTTTGATAATTTGTGTGTGATAATAACCATTGACAATGCCTTAGTGGATTCTGGAGCAAGCATCAATCTGATCTCTCTCTCCATGGCAGAGAAGCTAGGCATTGCTGGAGCCTTGCAGCGCCCTACTACTTCAATCATCTTTGGAGATGCAACTACTAAGTCTCCTCTTGGAGTGTTCAAGAATTATCACTTGAAAATTGGAGAATGCATCATCCAAACTGATCTCACTGTGATGGAAATGGAAGAAGAGAAGGATTTGCCTTGCTATTGGGAACCCCTTTCCTTAGTACAGTTGGCGCTTCAATTGACTTTCACAAGCAAGAAGTGATCCTTCACAAGGTGAATAGCTTGGTGTCATATCGCTTGCAGCCTAGAGGTTCACACTTTTGTGCCACAATTGACAGTACCAATCTCAGTTCTAAGAGTCATGGAGCTACAAAGGTTGTGAAGGAAAGGGTTGACAAGGAACCAAGAGTTGGGAAGGATAAGGATGAGAGAGGACCAAGGATTGAGAAGCCACGTCTTGAGAGGGCTAGAGTTGAGAAACCACGATCTGATAGGCCAAGAGCTGAGCGACTTGTTCAAGCCCCTTGTGTGCTTGATGAAGAGAGCCTTCAAGCTTTGTTTGATGAGCCACTAGGAAGGGCTCTACAAGAAGGGGAGGATGCAGCCTCTAAGGCAAGACCAGGAGATAAAAGAAAGGATCCACCAGCTCAGGCCCCTTCAGTCAAGCCATCTCAGCTCACAATGACTTTGTTCCCCACCAAGTTTGAAAATGGGAAGATTGAGTACAAGATAAGGTACAAGGGGAGATCAAGGCCATTCTCTAGAGCCAAGGCCATAGTGACTTCAGAACAGTCCAGGGACCCAACCAAGCTAAAGGAGCTTCTGTCTCAAGTCCTCACTATCACCCTTGATGGTGGGACTAGCTCAACCAATGCCTAAGAAGGTAAAGGTCAAGCTATGGGACCTTAAACAAGCTCACTTGGGAGGAAGTCCCATGTTTATCCTTGTACATACTCTATTTATGCAATTTCTATCTATCTTTATGTTTTTAACCTTTCAATAAGTTAAGTTTAGGTGTCTAAGGAGCCAGCTCGACCCACGACTCGATCGAGCTAGAAACCAGGGCAACTCGATCGAGCTCAACTCGACCAAGGTAAGTTTTTGAATTTCAAATTCATAACCGTTTTTTGGTCAAGGGAGTGGGTCCCACAAGCTGATTTTGGTCCCCCACTACCCTAATTCGATCAGAGAATCCCTAGTTTCTTGTTCCCTCTTTATCCCATCTTTTAATCTCAACCACACATCTCAAACAACTCTCTTCCCCATAACTCGATCGAACCCACTTCCTCTCTCCCACACTCATAAATTTCTGAAACTCATCCATCTCTCTCTTCACCACAAGAAATTTTTCGAATTTCAACTTTCTCTCTAAGTTTTTGCGATTTCAAGTGTTCATCTTCTTGTTTTGCTTAGTTTTGTTTACTGCTCTTCAATTCCACATTCAACAAGGTATGAACCCTAAAACCCTTCACTCCTCCATCTCGATTCCTTTTGTTTGCTTGTTTTCTCTTGATTTTGATTGCATGTGTCCCTTGTGGACTTGTTATTGAGAATTTGCTTTCATATTTCGCCTCTGCCATGTAGACTTGTTAGTTTTGCTTCACCTCACCTCTGTTTTGCCTTTAAACTTGTTGCATGTGATTGAAAGGTTGAATTTGAGTTTGGTAATGGTTAGGTTGCTATGTTTTTCACTAGAATTGCTTATTGTTCCATTTACTAGTTGTTCTTGGTTCAATTTGATTGATTAGCATCCTTTCCAGCTCTTAATACATGAATTAGGTTTGGTTATACTCTGCTTTCACCCAACTCGATCGAGTTTGTCACTCGAGTTTTTTGACTCGATCGAGCTGAGTGTCGAGTTGACCAAACCGATCATTACAACTCTAATTCTATTGAACTTTTGATGCATTTCAGGGACCAATCTAAGATGTTGAGAGGTGAAGGAAGCAAGCTAGCGTTCACAAGGAGGGAGATGATAAGAGGAGCAAGGAGGATACTCAAAACACAAACCAAGGAGGACATAGAAGAGGTTGAGAGGGTGAGGGAAGAAAGGAGAACCAAAAGAAGGAATGATCCTCTCAGCAGTGAGAGCGAAGCAGGAGAGTTTGAAATTGGGGTGAACATCCCACATGAGGAGAATGATGACTCCCAAGTGAAGAAGAGGGTGAAGAGATCAATCAAGAGATTGAGGAGAGTGAGCATGAGGGCAATGAGAATGTGCCCATGGAAGAGGAGGAGTCAAGTGAAGAAGAGGATGAGCTCCCCATGTACCAAGAGCACTATGATGCTCTTTTCTCCATGGACTTCATGGACACCAAGTACCCACATGTTGACACCATGAAGGCCCTTGGAATCTTTGAAGATGTGGAGTTGGTCCTCAAGAACATGCACTTGGCCAAGCTCTTCTCCTACCACATGGAATCCTACAAGGAGCTCACTTGCGAGTTCCTAGCTTCAATGAGGTACCACATGTATGAGGAAGAAGATAGAGCTGATTTGGACCAAGGATTGGGATGGATCACGTTCTTGGCTAAGGGAGAGAAGAGAATGGTGACCTTTAGGCAGCTGGAGATCTTGTTTGGGTTCAACTATGGAGAAGGAACCAAGTGGAACTTCAAGGAAAAGGAACTCCAAGAGGGTTTGGGCTACAATCGCTGATGGAGTGTACTCTTCCTCAAGGTCAAGGCAGCTCAGATCAGGAGCCCAGTCTTGAGATATGTGCACAAGGCACTTGCCAACACCTTCTTTGCAAGGAAGGCAACCGGGACAATCAACGAGGGGGAACTCAAGTTTCTTGACATGGGAATCAAGCCCTTCTCTCACGCACAAGCGATGGCAAGAGGATAAGGGGAGATAGGTCTGACACAGGGAACTTGATGCCTTTCCTTGACCACCTCCTCACCTACAAGATCACAGCTTACAACACTAGGCACCAAAGAGGAAGAAAGCTTAGTATTGGAGGGCTCATCACACCTATCTTGTGTGCTGCTGGAGTAAACCCAACTGATAGGAGAGCTACTGAACCAGGTTGGATGGACATCAAGTTCTGCAAGACCAACCTCCTCATTGAGCACAAGGAGTTAGATGGGAGGTTCCAATTCAAGTTCACACATCCATTGGTTGGACCCTCCAAGTTTCTCCTGCCTAACCCAGAGCTCACCACAGTTGTAAGGGGTGAGAACATTGATTTTAGACCCCCTGTGTACACATTAGTTGGGCATGAGGATGATCTGCGAGAAGAGGAGCCTGAGCTCGATCGAGCTGATCGAGCTGAGGGTCGAGCTGACCTGGAGGAGCCCCTGTTTGAGAATCCTGGATTCGAGTACGATCAACCAGTACCAGGACTTCTCTCAGACCCTGGACCCCTACAACCGCTTCGAGCGAGCACAGCTCCACCAAGGCCAAGGAAGCCACACACTTTGAAGATGAAGAAGAAGAGGAAGAGGAGCCGCAAGCTCGATCGAGTGAGCCAAGAGGCAACCCAGTTGCATGGAGCGCTCCTGATGGCCGTCTCCCATCTCCAGACCACGACCTAGCCTCCCAGTTCTTTGGGGGGCACTGAGGTATCCAAACACCAACCCTTGTATATACCATTTCATATTTTCTTGCATTTGTTCTTGTTTTTTCTTGGTTTTGCCCTCTTGAATCTTTCACTAAATTTTTCTCACACAAGGGACTGTGTGATTTAAGTTTGGGGGAGGGTTCAAGAGATGATTTAACCTTGTTTTCTTTGTTCTTAGTTTTTCATTTATCTTTTGCATAGAAAAACCAAAAAAATCATAAAATTTTCAAAAAATCCAAAAATATTTTCATCTTTTTGCATTCATATTTGTTAGACTTGTTTAGGATTGCATTTTTCACTTGCATTGTTGATTTGACTTTGAAAACTTGTCCATCTTTTGCGATTTCTTGAGTGCCCTGTTTTTAGATTCTTTTGTGCATTAGGGTGAGATTGATTGAGCAGCAAGAACCATGTTTATCTTGATCATATCGCTGCATGCACATCTCATTCAACCATTGCTGTGATTTGATGCATTTCCCTATCTATTTGAACCATAACTTGATCTTTAATTACCAATGCTTGCATTTGATTTCAACTCATGGCTACCACATACATATCTGGACATTCTTTACTTTCATATCCCTTTTGCTTGTCCAGATAGCTGATCTCTATCTTTGAGACAGTTACCACACCTTAAACCTAAGCCTTTTCATTTCAAACCCCTTATTATCTCTTGTGCGAATGTGAGAACCTTTCTTGGCTTTGCTTAGCATAAGGTGTTGTGTTTAAACCGGCAGGGGCAGTAGTTCTAGTTGTCTAGTTCTCTTGGGATTGTTTTCAGGCTAAGTTTGGGGGTGCCAACTCGAGCTCGATCGAGTTGGGTGTAAAAACCAGAAAAGTGGTAAAAGTTGGGAAAAACCCAAAGAAAAAGAGTTTAGTTAAGTCCAGGGAGTTGGCAGTGTTTAAAAGGGTCTAGTAAAGGTTTGGGAAGTTAAAAAAGGAAAGTAAAAAGGGTTCTAAGTAGAATGAAAAGAAGGCAAAGCCTCAAGTGTCAAAAAGGAAAGAAAAGTTCCCTAAGTGTTTAGAAAATCCCAAACCGCTAGATGTTACCTCAAGAAGCCTCTCCCTAGGAAGTTCTTAAAAGAAAAGTGAGCAAAGCTCCTCAGTTTCAAAGGCGAAATGCCAAAAAGGGTAGTTAGGATTTTGTTCTAAAAAGCTCTAAGTGTTGAACTCGATCGAGTTAGGATTAGGCGGCTCGAGCTGCTGTTCTTGCATCATCTTTGGTTCTAACACTTAGCCTTCTGCCAAAGCAAAGCCACTTTCTTGAGAGATCCCTGTTACTAAACCACCATACAAAAGAGACCCTCTTTGTCTCTTAACCCATAAACCCTTGAAACCAAATGAGTTGATTGATCTTGCATGTTTTTGGTTCACTGTTTTTGCTTAATGAATGTTAAAGGGATTTGCTGATTTGAATGCATTGTTTGAGTGACTGTGAAGTGGGATTGATGTTGATAAGCATGGTTAAATCTTAATGAATATCTCTCACCTTGTTGCATTCTAGAATCTCTAAGTTGGACATTTAGCAAATCGCTTTTGAGGACATGTTTTTAAGTGTTGAATCAGTTTTCAAACCTCATCTCTTTCTTGTTCTATTTGTTTGCTTGAGGGCAAGCAAAGTTCAAGTTTGGGGGTGTTGATGTACTTGCATTTTACATAGTTTTAGCACATCTTTTATGCATCTTTTGCATAGTTTTAGCTTCCATTTGCATCATATCTTGTTCCTTTTCTCTTCTTATGCATTCATGTTAGTTTTAGGTTGCATTTGCATACATATGCATGTTTGGTCCTTTGAAATAGGTCTTTTGGAGCATTCTGGAGCATATGGGACATGAGGAGCATGGAGGGACTTGGCACATGGAAGCAGCTCAACTGGATACGCAAAGGAAGAAGGGAGAAGCCATCTTGAAGACCAGCTCGACCGTCTACTCGACCAACCGGTCGAGTTCCTCAACTCGACCGGCCAAGCTTCAACTCGATCGAGCTGGAAGTCAAAGTCAAACCCGAAAAATGTTGCTTCCCCCTTGACTTTCCTTTGACCCTAAACCTAATCCTCTTGTATTTAAAGGCTCTAAGCCACGAAAAAACCACCAAGCTTTAGATTATTTTGTTTTAGTTTCTTTTAATTTATTGTCTTTTACTTTTTAGAGATCTAATCCCATCTTTGTGTTCTTGAAGCTCTTGCTTCTTGAATCCTTAGATCCTGGATAATCTCTTTGTATTTGCACTTGCTTATTTCAATAAAAGTTGTTTAATTTCATCTCCTCTTTCTTATGATGTCTCTTTTATTGCATTTGCTTGTGTTTACATTCATGTGTAGTGAGTAGTTACCCATTAGGGTTTGAGATGGGATAGATTAGAGGTTTCATATGCTTAATCCTTCTAGCTTATGGTCTTAATCTAGATTCTCTCTCTTTTGGATAGATCTTAAGGCTACATGACCACTACCCCTGGCTTGTAAGTCCTTAGGCGACTCCCCACACGAAAGTGATGGCATTCGCTGGAAAAGATCCACTAAGAGCTCCAATATCTCTTGCTCTAGACAATAGAGGTCTAAGGGGTTGGATGGATTAGTTTGGGCAATGATCCTATAGCCTCCAAGGTTTGATTCTCACTGGCTAACCCCCTGTTTCTGAGATCATTCCTTGGTTGATAGCCTCCACCTTGGGAAAGGGTTGGCTAGGCATTGAGAAGCCCAATATCAAGAGAAGCCTTGATACAAGGAGTTTTAAGAGCTAGATTGATTAAGTGTAGATTCCTTTGATTGCAAAACCCTGTCTTGAACCCTAATTCTCTCTTATCTTGTTAAAGTCGTCACCTTTAGCTTTTTGTCTCAACTCGTCCCTAAACTCGATCGAGCTGGTACTCTGTTCCACTCGACTCGAGTCTTGGTCGAGCTACTTCACTGCTTTGTTTACTTTTATTGCACTGCTTTTCATTTTTAGGTTGTTAGTGTTACTTCAAATCTATAACTGCTTGCTTGACTTTCTGGTTGTTTCATATTCTCATAGAGTGACAAGTTTCCCATTTTGGATTGATAACCTCTTATACTTCAATGACTATGATGGTTAAGAGGAATTGATTGATTGTGATTGCACCATACCATTTCATCTTTATTCACCCTGTTTGCATTCCATCTCATTTCATATCATTTCACATATCCACACACAATCCTATCATCAGACTAGCTCAACCAATGCCTAAGAAGGTAAAGGTCAAGCTATGGGACCTTAAACAAGCTCACTTGGGAGGAAGTCCCATGTTTATCCTTGTACATATTCTATTATTGCAATTTCTATCTATTTTCGTGTCTTTAACCCTTCAATAAGTTAAGTTTAGGTGACAAAGAAGCCAGCTCGACCGACAGCTCGATCGAGCCAGAAACAGGGGCAACTCGACCTAGGTAAGTTTTTGAAATTAAAATTTTTAAATGTTTCCTTGGTCAAGGGAGTGGGTCCCACAAGTAAATTTTGGTCCCCCACTACCCTAAATCGATCAGAAAAACCCCTAGCTTTTGTTCCCTCTTTATTTCACCTTTCAATCCCAACCACACATCTAAAACACTCCCTCTTCCCCATAACTCGATCGAACCCCCATCTCTCTCTCCCACAATCTTAAAAATTCTGAGAACCTCCATCTCTCTTCACCACAAGAAAAAAAAATCGATTTCCCTCTTTCTCTTTTAAGTTTTTCGATTGTTCATTGTTCATCATCTTGTTTTGCTTTAGTTCTAGCTACTGTGATTCTTCAATCATCATTCAAGCAAGGTATGAACCCTAAAACCCTTGATTTCTTCATCTCGATTTCTCTTTATTGCTTGTTTTCCCTTTGATTTTGATTGCATGTACCCCTTGTGGGCTTGTTCTTGAGTATTTGACTTCATATCATTCTCCTGTTTATATTTTTGTGAATTTGCCTCACCTCACCTCTGTTTTACCTTTAGAACTTGTTGCATGTGTTTAAAACATTGAATTTGAGTTTGGTATTGGTTAAGATGCTTGGGTTTTCACTAGAATTGCTTATTGTTCCATTTACTTGTTGTTTTTGGTTCGATATGATTGACAAGTTCTCTTTCCAGCTCTTATTATTTGAATTAGGTTCGGTTATACTCTGTTTTCACCTAGCTCGATCGAGTTTGTCACTCGAGTTTTTTGACTCGATCGAGCTTTGTGTCGAGTTGACCAAACCGATCATTACAACTCTAATTCTTTGTAATCTTTGATGCATTTCAGGTACTTTAGTGAAAAAACAGTGTAACAGAGATGATAAAAAGTGGGGGAAGTCGCACTTCACAAAGAATGGTTGAGGGTGAATCAAGCAATGCAAGGGAGAGAAGGCTTAAAATACAAGCCGATTTGGCGGCAATGACTCAAAGGATGGAAGAGTCTGATGCAGAGGAGTATGTCTACTCTGAGGAGGAGTCTGAGAGCGAGAGACTGAGGGAGGAAAGGAGAACCAAAAAGAGGAATGACTCCATTAGTAGTGAGAGTGAGCAAGGAGAGTTTGAGATTGGGGTGAACCTTGTTCAAGAGGAGGGTGATGGTTCTCCAAGTGAAGAAGGAAGTGATGACTCTGAAAGTGAAGAGGAAGGAGAGGAAGTGAATCAATTGGTTGATGAGAGTGAGCAAGAGAGTAACCAAGATGAACCCATGGAGGTTGAGCCACAAGAGAAGGAGGAAGAACTCCCTATGTACCAAGAGCACTACAATGCTCTCTTCTCCATGGATTTTGTGAAAACAAGATACCCACATGTTGACACAATGAAGGCCCTTGGAATCTTTGAGGATGTGGAGCTAGTTCTCAAGAACATGCACTTGGGAAAGTTTTTCTCTCATCTCACCTACAAAGAGCTCACTTGCGAGTTCTTGGCTTCAATGAGGTACCAAATTGATGTACTTGCATTTTACATAGTTTTAGCACATCTTTTATGCATCTTTTGCATAGTTTTAGCTTCCATTTGCATCATATCTTGTTCCTTTTCTCTTCTTATGCATTCATGTTAGTTTTAGGTTGCATTTGCATACATATGCATGTTTGGTCCTTTGAAATAGGTCTTTTGGAGCATTCTGGAGCATATGGACATGAGGAGCATGGAGGGACTTGGCGCATGGAAGCAGCTCAACTGGATACGCAAAGGAAGAAGGGAGAAGCCATCTTGAAGACCAGCTCGACCGTCCACTCGACCAACCGGTCGAGTTCCTCAACTCGACCGGCCAAGCTTCAACTCGATCGAGCTGGAAGTCAAAGTCAAACCCGAAAAATGTTGCTTCCCCCTTGACTTTCCTTTGACCCTAAACCTAAATCCTCTTGTATTTAAAGGCTCTAAGCCACGAAAAAACCACCAAGCTTTAGATTATCTTTGTTTTAGTTTTTTAATTTATTGTCTTTACTTTTTAGAACCTAATCCCATCTTTGTGTTCTTGAAGCTCTTGCTTCTTGAATCTTAGATCCTGGATAATTCTTTGTATTTGCACTTGCTTATTTCAATAAAAGTTGTTTAATTTCATCTCCTCTTTCTTATGATGTCTTTTATTGCATTTGCTTGTGTTTACATTCATGTGTAGTGAGTAGTTACCCATTAGGGTTTGAGATGGGATAGATTAGAGGTTTCATATGCTTAATCCTTCTAGCTTATGGTCTTAATCTAGATTCTCTCTCTTTTGGATAGATCTTAAGGCTACATGACCACTACCCCTGGCTTGTAAGTCCTTAGGCGACTCCCCACACGAAAGTGATGGCATTCGCTGGAAAAGATCCACTAAGAGCTCCAATATCTCTTGCTCTAGACAATAGAGGTCTAAGGGGTTGGATGGATTAGTTTGGGCAATGATCCTATGGCCTCCAAGGTTTGATTCTCACTGGCTAACCCCCTGTTTCTGAGATCATTCCTTGGTTGATAGCCTCCACCTTGGGAAAGGGTTGGCTAGGCATTGAGAAGCCCAATATCAAGAGAAGCCTTGATACAAGGAGTTTTAAGAGCTAGATTGATTAAGTGTAGATTCCTTTGATTGCAAAACCCTGTCTTGAACCCTAATTCTCTCTTTATCTTGTTAAAGTCGTCACCTTTAGCTGTTTTTGTCTCAACTCGACCCTAAACTCGATCGAGCTGGTACTCTGCCTACTCGACTCGAGTCTTGGTCGAGCTACTTGTTTCACTGCTTTGTTTACTTTTATTGCACTGCATTTTCATTTCTTAGGTTGTTAGTGTTACTTCAAATCTATAACTGCTTGCTTGACTTCCTGGTTGTTTCATATTCTCATAGAGTGACAAGTTTCCCATTTTGGATTGATAACCCTCTTATACTAAACTATGATGGTTAAGAGGAATTGTTGACTGTGTTTGTGTTTGCATCTTACCACCATCATTTACCACTGATTGCATTCCACCTCATCTCATCTCATTTCATATCTTTTCACATCCACACACAAACATTCACCATCACACATGTACAATGAGGAGGATAGAGCCGATTTGGACCAAGGATTGGGATGGATCACGTTCTTGGCTAAGGGAGAGAAGATAATGGTAACCTTTAGGCAGCTGGAGATCTTGTTTGGTTTCAACTATGGAGAAGGGATTGAGTGGAACTTCAAGGAAAAGGAGCTCCAAAGGATTTGGGCTACAATTGCTGAAGTGGGGTACTCTTCCTCACGATCTAAGACCGCTCAAATCAGGAGCCCAGTGCTTAGGTATGTGCACAAGGCACTCGCTCACACCTTCTATGCAAGGAAAGCAACCGGCACGATCAATGAAGGGGAACTCAAGCTTCTTGACATGGGAATCAAACCCATCCTCTCTCACACAAGCGATGGCAAGAGGATCAGAGGAGACAGGTCCAACACAGGAAACTTGATGCCTTTCCTAGATCACCTCCTCACCTACAAGACCACGGCCTACAACACTCGCCATCAACAAGGGAGAAGACTAAGTGTTGGAGGAATCATCACTCCCATCTTGTGTGCTGCTGGCGTAAACCCAACTGATAAGAGAGCCACTGAACCAGAGTGGATGGACATCAAATTTTTCAAGGTCAACCGCCTCATAGACCACAAGGAAGTGAATGGGAGGTACCAATTCAAGTTCACACATCCATTGGCTGGTCCTTCCAAACTTCTCCTGCCCAACCCAGAGCTCACCACAGTCGCCAGGGGTGAGAACATCGACTTCAGACCCCTTGTGTACACTCTAGTTAGGCATGAGGATGAGTTGGGAGAAGAGGAGCCTGAACTCGATCGAGCTGAGGATCAAGCTGAGATTCGAGCTGAAGATCAAGTTCAGGAGAATGAAAGTTTGGGTGAGCCTGAGTGTTATTACTTTGAGGAGTATGAAGCTCCGAGGATGAACCCCTCTGTTGTGGCTGCCCACAAGAGGATTGGACTCCTTCAAAAGTTCAACAAATGGCAAGGGAAGGCCATTGAAAAGATGCAAAAGTCCATGGACAAGATGGTGAGCAAGATTAAGAGTTTGGAGAAGAAAGTCTCTGGTTCTTCATCCAAGAAGAAGAAGGCAACCATGGCCCCCACATTCCCAAGGAGTAGATCTCTCCTCACCACTCCAAGGAGGCTTCCTGCCAAAGAGCCTCACAGAGCCTCATCATTTGAGCCAAGGGAAGGAGGAGACAACTCGCAGAGGAGGAGGAAGAGTTCCAAAGCCCGACGCTCCAACTTGACCACTGGACTCGATCGAGTCCAAACAGAGGAAACTCAACTCGATCGAGCTGATGGTCGAGTCAGCCTTGAGGAATCAGGATTCGAGAACCCTGGGTTCAAGTACGATCCGACACCTTACCAGGAGTGCCCTCGGAGCAGATGGAACCCCTATGGCTAGTATGAGCTAGCCATGCTCCACCAAGGCCAAGGGAGCCACACACACTTCAATGAAGAAGAAGAAGAAGAGGAGCCGCAAGCTCGATCGAGCGGTGATGCGGAGTCAGGTTTTACCAAACTCCTAGACCTCTGCAAGTGCACAGATCGCGGAAGTATGGGTATCGAACACAAGGACTGGCTATTGAGTACACTTTGTAACTATGGATTTTGGATCAAGCTAAAACAAAAGTATGATTGAGGTTGTAATGGTGAACCGAACTAGCAAGTATAACGAGGTTGTAAAGCAATAAAGGAAAAGCGCTAGGTCATAGGGGCTATCGCAGAGAAGCAAGCAATGATCAATGAAACAATGATAGATTAATTGATTAGGGATATTGGGATATTAAGAACCATCTAGAACACAGATCACGAATATAAAACCATTCCACTTTCGAGGCTCCGGCTCCTTTGCTAATCTACCTAGTCGCTAAACTTTTGGTATGTCCCTAGGTGATTAGATCAAGCATTAGAATGAATAGGTTCTGATACAGTTCACTAGATATAGATAGATCAACTTTCGCAGTCTAAGAAACCTAGCTTGTCAAAGAATATGTCCGGCGAATGATACAGCACTGTCGAGGCTCAAATCAACCTAAGATCGGATTACTAGATGCGCGGTAAAGCAATCAGCATTAGTTAAGTGCACAAGACGAGACAAAGACTCTAATATAATCCCTAGCTAATCATTGAAATCAAAGATCATGCAAGCAACTCATTGAATAGTAACCCTAGCAACCTAACTAGTGGATTACTCAGACATGATCAAAGCAAACACACATAGAGATGAAGAAAACATGATTGCAATAAAACTTAGAGTAGGAAATCGAAATACAGGGCGGCTCTCTTTCTCAAGAGGCTAAAAATCCATATATATAGTGCTAGGTCTTTCTAGAGGCGGCTAGGGTTAAGCCGGGCTTGAAAACATAAGTTTGGGCTTCAAAAGGGCTTCGGGTCGACCGCGGCGTTGGGACGGTCGTGCGGGACGATCGGCCGGACATCGGGTCGTGGCCGAGTCGGAACGGTCGGGGTCGGACGGATTCACGGTCGGTCGGCGTGGTCGGCGGATGAACTTGGCCGATGAAATCTCGGCCGGACGCGGGAGTTTCCCGGCTCGGACGGAGCGTTCGTGCGTGGTACGGAGGAGTTGCGCGGCCGCGAGGCGTTTCCCGGCTCGCGCGCTTTGGTCGTGCGCGGTGTGGCGTGGCGTTGTGGCTTGGCCGACCGCGGGCGATGTTTCCCGGGTCGTGATGCGTGATCGGCCGAGTGGTTTGGACTTTGGCCGAGACTTCAGTCGGACGGACGCAGCTTTGGCCGAGCGCGCGTTTCGGACGCTGTTCTCTCGATAGAGCCGTCTGGACAGTCTCCACTCTTTTGGCTATAACTCCTTTTCTACTCATCCAAATGATGCCATTCCAATTGCGTTGGAAAGTTAACTCAATCAGAGCACGCAGGGAACTGGTCTTGATGAAATCCATTGAGTAGATCTTTTTCTGGGCCCTCTTAAAGTTGGTGCTTGTGCATTGAGCTGTCCCCCAGACTTAGATCTTTGCTTGTCCCCAAGCAAAAGGAATCTAAATCCGTGAAAGAGGTTTGAAAACGTGGAAGCTCCCTTGCTCTTTTGAATATCCTGTGAAAGGTTCCTCTCCTGTATTCCACTATGAACATAGACAAC